GATATTTTAATTTTCTAATTTAATTGCTTATTTTTATTATTTTACGAATGTTTAAATATTTATTTAAATTCTTTATGTATTTTACTTATTTAATATTTAATTATTTCATTTAATTTTTTGACTAACACTTATTTTCATCATTTATTTTAATATTTTCATTGCTTATTTTAATTATTTTACTAACACTTAATTTAATTATTTATTTTTAATTAATGTTTAAATACTTTTTTTTAATTCTTTATGCATATTGCTTATTTAATATTTACAAATTTATTTTAATTGATTTGCAGAAATTTAATTTGATTGATATTTTAATTTTCTAATTTAATTGCTTATTTATTGTTTTACAGATGTTTAAATATTTATTTAAGTTCTTTATGTATATTACTTATTTAATATTTAATTATTTCTTTTAATTTATTTTACTATTACTTAACATAAAATAAGTAATTAAAACTAAATTGGAAAATAATAAATATTTAGATAAATAATAAAACATTTATATTAAGCATTTCAAAGAAATAATTTTAAATACATAATATACATTAAAATTAAACAATTCAAATAATAATTAAATATTAGACAACACAATATAAGTAATTAAAATAAATAGTTAACTTAAAAAATTAAAGGAAATAAATAAATAAGCAATTTAAAAAAAAAATCTGGGCCTCTGACGGTCGGCCCAGATGACTGGGCCGTCTGGGCGCCAGGAAGCCCAGTCAACTGGGCGCCCAGGCGGCCCAGTCGACCCAGACGGCCCAGTCGACTGGGCGCCCAGACGGCCCAGTCGATCGGGCGCCCAGACGGCCCAGTCGACCGGGCGCCCAGTCGGCCCAGACAACTGGGCTGTCTGGGTGAATCTGGGTCGTCTGGGCATGCCTAAACGGTCCAGTCGGCTGGGCTTACGTCTCCTTTGTGGAGATCGCCGGAAAACTCCATTTTCGACGATCTCTACTCCATTTTCTTCCTCCCAAACTATTATCCTTACCCAAAAATCATGCATTTTTCCAAAAATCAACACATGTATATAAAATCATGTTTTTTTTTCCAAAAATCAACATAAAAACTTTAAATATGGGTCGTCTATTTTTCCTTTTTTATCAGTGCTACAGTAATTTTTCTATTTCCTTACTCTCTTCTCTTTCTTCTTTAAATAGTAAGGGTAAATTTGGATTTCTCTTGATTTTCAATATTTTAAACATTTTGCTTTTTTTTTTTTTTTAATTGGTCAAAGGCCTCTTTGGAAAACTGGCCGGGTCAACCGGCTGTTGGCCACTAATTCCTCTCAGTTTATACCTTCTCTTGCTTATTTAAAGCCCAAGGTGGGTCCAAAATTCGTAGACTATCCAAGATAGGCCCAATTTTGAACAAGCCCACTTTTCCCAAAAAATTTCATGAGAAGAGTCAAGTTGGAATTAAACATTTTGTAATCATGCGTCTTCCTCTTCCCTACTTTCCCGTACGTTTTTCGAGTTTTATCTTCCATTTTTCCCTGCCCGCGTTATTTCTCCTTTGAATTATGTTACAAGTACAGGATTTTTGCACAAATTTATTTTTACAAATATAGATGTCAAAACATCATTCAGAGATGGAAAAAACATAAAACACGGACAGGGACCGAGCCTTCATTTAGATTGAATTTATAAATAGAATTAATCTAATTTGACAGAAAATGCATGACAGAAACATTAACCTACACTCACAATGCGTACAGGACCTGCATGAATTTAAAACTCCAAAAAAGGTGGCCCCTTCTATTGTAAGTGTTGGTCATTTTCGATTAGTGTAGCTTGATTGTTATAAATATAATCAAATTCAAACATTAATTTTTATCATACATTCGTAACTTGTCATAAGCAGCTAGTGGAAGGAAACTCCTGGGGAAAGAAGAAGAAGAGGTCTAAACGGAATTACCAAAATCTTCAAATGGGAGACGGCACTGTTCAACGTTAAACATAAGGCGGGACTGTTTCAGCATTTCAAATTGCTAACTGTAAGCATATTTCAAATTGTTAACTATAAACACGCATTTTCCCTCTACTTAAACATGAGACGGGAATGAAGGGTGGATGAATAGAATTTGGTTTCTCTTCTTCTCTATCTCATTCTGAAATATTCTCTTCATTTTCGTTCTTCTTTTCTTCTCCCTTAATCTATATTTTTTTTTATCGTCATAGTGGAATATTATTACAGTGGAGTTTGAAATCTATGGATTGTGGAATTATTGTGTTGTGATTGTGTTGGAATTATTCGATTTTGATTGAGGCTATAATCAATCATTACAAGTGGTATCAGAGCAGCTACAGTTCTGGGTATGGACACTCGAGCCAAAGTAGTAGAGGAACACCTCAAAAAATTCAACAGGAAAGTTGAAAATCTCGGTAAAACTATCCATGAAATGGGTAACAAGATGGAGACCTCAGACCAAACATTAAAGGCCCTATGTAACAAGCAAGATTGTATGGAGATGATGATGGGGGAATTGAATTCTAAGCATGAATCGTTGGCGGCAATGATGGCCCAGATGATGGGTGAAAAGGTAGAATCCAGAGACAAGCAGAAAATAGATGCGCTAGTTCAGATTTACAATGACGAGGGACTACTTACTCCACACTTGGGATTTGCATCGGGTAGTAATACCAATGGTGGTAAAATGAGAGGAATTAAGCATCCTAAGATTGATTTCCCTTATTTTAGTGGTGAAGGGCTTCGAGAATGGTTGAGGAAGGCTCGAAAATACTTCCAAATCCACCAAATTCCTGATGAATTGAGGGTCAGTATTGCTGAAATGCATTTAAAAGTGAAAGCAAATGTGTGGTTTCATGGCTTCATCAGTAGCAATCCCAATGTTCACTGGGATTTGTTCTCTAGGGAAGTGTGTAGGAGATTTGCAGAGGCTACCGGTGAAGAGGTTATAGAAGCCTTTAGTAAGATCAAGCAAAGGGGCATAGTAGCTGAATACCAGGAGCAATTTGAGGATCTCAAATTTTATGTGATGCTATCCCTTCCCCACCTTCTTGAATCGTATTATATATTTATCTTTACTAGTGGATTGAAAGAGTAAATCAGGTCCATGGTAAAAATCATCAAGCCAACCTCTATCGCCCAAGCTTTTGAAATGGCCCTCTTACAGGAAAACACCATACTAGCCTTGAATAAAAACACCAAAAACCCAACCAAACTCAGTTACTCCTCCAAATTGTCTAACCTACCACAAAAGACAACTGAAACTAACCCAAAATCTCCTTCCACCAATGCCACCGAACCATCCCAAAAGAACCAAACCAACCCCTTGAGATTCAAGACAATCACCCCCACTGATATATAAACCAAGAAGAACCTAGGATTATAGATGTGATGAAAAATATATCCTTGGACATTATGCAAGAACAGAATGCTAAACTTCATGTTGGTGGATGATGAAGTAGAGAGGAAGGGTAAGGAAGATGAAGAAATTGATGAGCAAGGTAAAAGAGAAAGGGATGAAGAAATCATGGAAATCTCCATCAATGCCCTATAGGCAACCTAAAACCAAAAACCATCATAATCCTAGGCCAAATAAGGAAAAAGAAAGTGTCAATCCTCATCAACAATGGTAGCACCCATAGCTTTATTGATGAAAGGTTAGTAAAGGAGTTGAAATGTAAAACAGAACCAACCCCATCTGTGACAGTTACTTTTGCCAATGGGGACAAGTTACAGTGCACAACCATCTGTAATTCACTTATTTGGATCATGCAAGGGATGGAATGCCAATTCCAGCCGAAGGTGTTGAAGTTAGGAGGGAGAGATGGTATTAGGGGTAGACTGGTTAAGTCAATTCAATCCAGTGATATTTGATTTCCAACGAAGTAGCATTACATTCACTTAGCAAGGGATGGAGGTGGAACTAAAGAGTGAAGACATAAATGAGGAAATTCTGATGATAGAAGGAAGGAGGACGAGTTAGTGGATTCAAAGGCAACCCTATGCGATTATAGCTCAAATTCAAGCAATCGAAGAAGGAGAAGAAAATTGAATCCCTGCTGAAGTACAGAATATCATTGAACGGTATTCCGAAGTGTTCATGGAATCGAATGGGATGCCCCTTCCCAGGTCTAATGATCACAAAATTCCTTTGACAGAAGGAGCACAGCCTTTTAAGATAAGACCATATCGATGTCTTTATGTCCAGAAGACTAAACTGGAGAAGATGGTAAAAGAGATGTTAGAGGTAGGGATTATTCAACCCAGCAATAGCCTTTTTGTCTTACCTGTGTTACTAGTGAAAAAGAAGAATGACACTTGGAGATTTTGTGTGGATTACAGGCAACTAAACAACTTGACCATCAAGGATAAATATACCATGCCATTGATTGACGAGTTAATCGATGAACTTCAATGCTCTAAATGGTTCTCCAAAATCGATTTGTGGGCTGGGTACCATCAGATTAGGATGGCAGAAGCTGATATCCATAAGACAGCTTTCAAAACTCACCAGGGCCTATATGAGTTCAAAGTAATGCCATTTGGCCTTACCAATGCCCTAGCCACATTTCAAGGTTTGATGAATGAAATATTCAAGGCCTACTCTAGGAAATTTGTTCTGGTGTTCTTTGATGATATTATGGTATGCAGTCCCGATCTAAATTCCCATTGCAAATACCTATCTATTGTGCTGGATGTGTTGAGGGAGCAAAAGTTGTATGCTAAGGAATCTAAAATATTTGGGGCATATGATATCAGCTGTAGGAGTGCCAGCTGATCCACAAAAGGTAAGTACAATGCGACAATGGCCTAGACCCAACACAGTGAAGCAGTTGAGAGGGTTCCTTGGCTTGACAGGCTACTACTGGAAATTTGTTAAAGGATATGGGGTTTTGGCTAAACCTCTAACAGACCTCCTAAAAAAGAAGGATTTAGTTGGAATGCTGATGCAAAAATAGCCTTATCAAACATTGAAAATAGCAATGTGCAATACCCCGGTCCTGGCATTACTAGACTCTAAGCAGCCATTCATTGTTCAGACAGATGCTTGTGTTGGAGGAATGGAAGCAGTACTAATGCAAGGGAAGAGACCTATTGCTTATATGAGTAAAGGCATTAGCAAAGAAAAGTTAGGGTTGTCCATTTCCGAAAAAGAGTTGCTAGCATTGGTCACAACAGTAGGAAAATGGAGACATTATCTCGAGGGGCACCATTTCATAATCAAGACGGACCATCGGTCGTTAAAATACCTCCTAGAGCAGAGGATTACCACCTCTCTCCAGCAGAACTGGCTGACCAAACTCCTTGGGCTCAGTTATGGGATTCAATATAAGAAAGGGACTCAGAAATTGGTGGCAGATGCTTTATCCAGGAGGGAAGAATCGAGGGTCGAAGTTATTGCCATATCCCAAGTTCTTCCTACTTGGGTACAGGAGGTGATAGAAAGTTATCAAGGAGATGTTGTAGCTAACCAATTGATTGAAGCACAACTTATTAAACATGGAGAGGCGTCTGATTATTCCTATAAGGATGGACTACTCAAACACAATGGGAGACTGTATGTGGGGTCATGTGGACAGATTAAAGCCAAACTGATATAAAACATACGCTCTTTGCGGAGTGGAGGCCATTCAGAGGTGCAAGCCAGTGTGTATAGGGCCAAACGACACTTCTTTTTGTCAGTTATGATCAAAGATATCAAAAGGGAGGTATTACAATGTGATATTTGCTAAAGATTTAAAAGGGAACATGTTCTCTACCCTGGTTTATTACAGCCTCTTCTTGAGCCACAGTATTCCTGGAGTCATATCTAAATGGACTTTATTGAAGGGCTACTTCATTCGAAAGGTAAAACAGTGATCTTGGTGGTGGTAGACAGGTTCACGAAGTATGGGCATTTTCTTGCCTTAACCCGTCCACTCTCAACCTCTATCATACCCATATTATACCTGGATAATATCTACAAGCTACATGGGATGCCTTAAAGTATCGTGTCAAATAGGGATAAAATATTAATCAGTGAGTTTTGGAAAGGGCTGTTCAAATTATTAGGGACCGAGCTACATCTGAGTCCTGCATATCATTCCCAAACGAATGGGCAAACGGAGAGAGGCTCAATCAGTGCTTGGAGATGTACCTACGCTATATGACCTTCCATCGACCTAAACAGTGGTCAAACTGGTTGTCATTAGCTGAGTGGTGGTATAATACCACTTATTAGACGGCCATCAAGATGTGCCCTTTTGAAGCCTTGTATGGGATCAAGCCACCACAGTTGGCCTTAGGCCCTTACCAGCAGACCAACATTTGCAGCAGTGAATGAACTGGTACAAGATAGGCATCGTATGGATCAGTTACTTAAAGAAAATTTAGCAGAAGCTAGGGCAAGGATGAAGTTCTATGCCGACCGGCACAAGGTTGAAAGAGAATTTCAAGTAGGAGAATGGGTATATTTGAAGCTCCAACTGTATAAGCAGCTATCCATAGCCACACGAGTAAATTCCAAATTATTTGCAAAATACTACGGGCCTTATCAGATCATCAGAAAGATAGGACAGGTGGCTTATGAATTGGAACTTTCCCGAGGGTCTAAGTTCATCCTATTTTCCATGTCTCACTGCTGAAGAGAAAGATAGGCAACAAAGAAGTACCTATTTTGCTGATTCCAGAGACAGATGAATTGGGCCAATAGCACGACATACCGCTAGTAGTCTTACAGACCCGCATAATGGTTGGTACAATAGAGGGATGTTGGTAAGGAAGATGCTGCAACTATCCAAAGGCAATTTCCCCACCTTCCAAGGTTGATTTAAG